TGAAACGCTTTTTATAATTCTATTCTAATTGCGAATTTCAAACTACACAAGGATGTTCCTGATTCCTGCAATTTTCCACCAGGAACATTGCTGATRAAGAGAAATAGTTTTCAATAGGTTTTATTTGTTTTTTATACTTTTTTCATGCGCTTTTTACAATTGTTTACCAATTGCGAAAAACTATACAGTGATGTCGCTGATTCCTGCAGCAGGAACATTGTTGATGCAAAAAAAAATGTTTTGTTCCATTGGTTAAAGTTGTCGCTTTCTGCAATTGATTACGAATTGCAAATTATACAGGGATGTTTTTGATTCCTGCCTCCACACGAATTTTCCAGCAGGAACATTGCTGATCAAGAGAAATAGCTTTCAATAGGTTTTATTTGTTTTTTATACTTTTTTCACGCTTTTTACAATTGTTTACCGATTGCATAAAACCACACAGCGAGGTCGCTGATTCCTGCAGCAGGAACATTGTAGATGCAAAAAAAATTGTTTTGTTCCATCGGTTAAAGTTGACGCTTTCTGCATTTGATTACAAAATGCAAATTATACAGGGATGTTCCTGATTCCTGCCTGCACACGAATTTTTCATCAGGAACATTGCTGATCAAGAGAAATTGTTTTCAATAGGTTTTATTTGTTTTTTATATTTTTTTATGCGATTTTTGCAATTGCAAACTATTGAATGATGTCGTGATTCCTGCAAACGTACTTGTATCTTCCAGCAGGAACATTGTTGATGCAAAATTGTTTTGTTTGATCGGTTGAAGTTGACGCTTTCTGCAATTGTTTCCGATTTGCAAACTATTCAGAGATGTTACTGATTCCTGCAAAGGTATCTTCCAGCAGGAACATTGCAGATTCAGCGAAATAGTTTTCAATAGGTTTAATTTGTTTTTTTTTATATTTTTTATACGCTTTTTACAATTCTTTACGAATTGCGAGCTATACAGGGATATTCGTGTTTCCTGAAAACGAATTTTCAACAGGAACATTGCTGATGTAAGTAAGTTATAAAATTGTATTGTTCCATCGGTTCAAGTTGCTATTCAAGTCATACACATAGATATATAAAGAAATCATAGTGTTTTAATTTAGTCTACTGTATCTAGAAAAAAAAATCTGTTTCCCCAAATAAAAAAATATTTAAAAATTACAAAAAAGAAAATACGAGTATAAAATACTTTGAAAATATAGTAATTCATTTGCTAGTAATAAAAGTAATAGGATTTTTGAGAATAGGGTATATCTTGGAGAGAAGGTCTTTAGAACTTAAAACTCTAGGGCTTAATTTCTCACAACAAAATGTTATTTTGGGAAAAAAAAATAATAAATTAAATTTTTGTAATAAATTCCTTTGTATTTTCAGAAAAAAATTGTTACTCTAGCAGGTTTTAAGTCATATACGTAGACAGATATATGAAGAAATCATATTTTGATTTTCTCGATTAACTATAGAAGAAAATTGTTTTTTTCCTGTTTTCTCAAGAAAAAAGTACTTCAAAAATCCAGAAATGCATTTGCTAGATGGCTAATAATCTTATTAAAACTGAAAATATTTTGTTTAAAAAAAATACACAATTTCCAACTTGATTTAAAATTTTACACTTTTTGGTTTTAAAGTACTGACGAGATTGACATTTTTTTAATGGAAACCTATAATTTTTTTAGTCAATTCGATAGATTTTTTAATTATCGAAATGACAACAAAAAAATATTAGATATTACATAAAATTTTCGGAAAAAAAAATATCCAAAAAGTGAAATAATATGAACAAAAAACAAACAATTTCAGAAAATTGACCTGTTTGAGCATTTTAATGAATAAGATTTTTATAATTTTGCCGCTCACTCATTACAATTATATAATTACTTCCTAAGTACTTTAATGTGAAAATGTTGTAAATGAACTTGCTTATTTGTGTTTTTACAAAATTAATTCTTGAAACTGTTCATTATTCGTGATTAGACTTCCGTCAACAACAATCAAAACAACATATAACGTCAGAAGAAAAATTTTTTCGGTGAGGTTAGCCAATAATGTGTTTGTGACTATCCCAAAACACTATTTTTTAACGTCCGAAAAGCTATGTTTATCCACATTTTAAAATTCTATGCCAGATAATCGCTTTTTATTTACATCTGATAAAACTCATTTTCTTATTTAATGGGTGACCTGATAAAAAATGAAAAAATATTTATTCTAAGATATAAAATAAACAAAAAAATGATAGTGAAAGTAACACAAACTGCGTCAAACATTCAATTTTCCAAATTACAATAATTGTTCCCTCTTGTAAACAAATCACGGTCTGAAAGGTCTTCCAAAACATAATACCTTTCAGCTACCTGTTTGTGATTTTTATTTAATTGGCTTCCGGGGTCGGAAACTCTACCTCTCATCTGTGCACCCTTACCTACCTATTTACTACCCTATATTCAAGAACGCCCTCGCTGACCCACTTTCCAACACAAAGCCTTTCAAAGAACGACGACATTCCCACACATTAAAAACATGTTTGGGTGCTATAAAGAGCCTAGTGTATTTCATGTTTTAAGGTTGGTAATATCGAAATTTTCGTTGTTTCAGTACCGGATTCGTACAACAGCTACCTTCTCCAGCAGCACCACCACGTCCAGCAGACCCAGATGCACCACCACAACAGCACCGCCTCCCCCTTCACGACGCCCTCTCCCCCCTCCCCGCCCATGCGCCACGCCATCCCCACCTCGGTGATCCAGGCGGCGACATCTAGCGTGTACGATGACGCCTACATGCTCGGTTTCTCCCCCCGAAAGCTGAAGAAAGTGAAGAAGACGAAGATGGGGGAGCCTGGCTCCGTCAAGAGGAAGAGTCGGGAGGGTTCGACGACGTATTTGTGGGAATTCTTGCTCAAACTCCTGCAGGACCGGGAGTACTGCCCGCGGTTTATCAAATGGACCAATAGGGAGAAGGGGGTGTTCAAATTGGTGGATTCTAAGGCGGTGTCGAGGCTGTGGGGGATGCACAAGAACAAGCCCGATATGAATTATGAGACGATGGGGCGCGCCTTGAGGTACTACTACCAGAGGGGCATTTTGGCCAAAGTTGATGGGCAAAGACTCGTCTACCAGTTTGTTGAGGTCCCGAAGGATATAATCGAAATCGATTGCACGGGGGCGTGATTGCCTTAATTAGACTTCTTCCAGTGATGAGGATCACTGTCTCGAAAGTACAACATACTTAAAACACGAAATTTATTTATTAGAAATTAATGTAATTTTTATTGGTGTATATAATGACTCAACAAAGACAATATTAGAGTTGCATACAACGAATTTTTCGCACTTTGCACATAAACCAACTAACGAGATCTCAATGTAAAGTGGAACACGAATCACTGTCATATCTTCGTAAATGGACTTACCTGATACGTCAATCAAGTTAAGTGTCTTGTCACCTTTACTGGACTGCTAGGAAGGTTGTGATGTGAATTATGTTATCCAGGTTGTGGTTATTTCTAATTAAACCAACAGAGATTGTAATTTTTATACTTTACACTATTTCATACCCACTTAGTTTAGTCAATTTTCGTTTGGCAATGTTGGTGCTCTTGATGGTCAAAAGTGCTGTTTCCAAATTGTACAGTTGTTGTTTTGTTGACTCAAAGATTTAAATCGATTGCAATGTAAATAAAAGTTTATTGAGCCGTATGGATGTTGTTGCTTGTATGAAATAGTGATAGTAATTGTTAATTAGATTTTTATAAAGTAAGAGATATTTAGAATACTTAACAACGGTCCGAAGATTTAATATGAAATGTGATAGAGAGGATAAGTATTTTGGAGACGTTTTATAAAATTTTGTTACCTAGTTTAGCATAGGAAGGTCAGAGGTGCTCTTACAAGGCGATGAGACTGTGCGGTGCCTGAAGATTGACAAAATTGTCGTTGAATTGTCAATATTTTAGCTCTCTTGGATGTATCATTGCAGAGTGTTCGGCAGAATAAGCTTTGATCTCAGATGTACACGCAGGAAAAAGCAGAATAAAATTGTAAATAACGCTGTTTTTGTACTTATTGGGTTTCTTTAGTTTCGTGTACATTCTGTATAGTATTTATTTAAATAATGTCAAGAACTCACAATACTAAGTTGTAAATTTTCGTTGTAACGTTCTGTGATTGTATATTTAGTTTCCTTTGTAAAGTTTTCGAAATTTTCATTGTAGTGAATGTTATTAACGTTGTACCTAAGGTCAAATGTGTCTTGAAATTTAACCCAACTCAGTGCGCAATTCAGGACGAAATTACAATTATATTATTATTAAAACTAACCCAGGTCTCAATCTCAGTGAAATAATTATACATATGTGTAGAATTATTAACTAAATGTACGCACAACAAACAAAATATAACAACATTCGAATTGTACGTCCAAAACATATTGTGATAACTGTCGAAATGCATGCTGATCACCTTAGCATAGATATATTTGTAACATGTTTGTGATACATGTTCAGTGGTCTTATAAACATTTTGTTTGTTGCTGTTGATTATTTCATTTCTCACATATTGTTTGTACTCAATAAAAAAGATTTGAAGAAAACTAACATTTGTTGTAAAAACAGTTATTAATAAATATAAAAATTACAACTAAATAAAAAAAGATTGGTGATATTGTCAAATGTAGGATAATAATGTTGACACGCAAGTTGTATATATTATATTGTATAATTTTTATTATATTACAAAATACCTACCTAAGTATCTACTGAATTTTAATTGATTTCAAATACAATATTGTATAGTTTTATTTAGCATAAGACAAGGTACTTTTATTATATAGTTTATTGTAATATTTTGTCTTTACAAAAATACGACATGAATAAAATTATTTGTGTTAGATTCTCTCTAATTTACCACTATTTCCGCACAATTAAAAATACAGTAAAAAAATAACAAACCAAAATAATTAAGCAAAGATAAAATTATTTTTAATTTCCAAAGAAAAGTTACTTTTAACGAAATAAGGTTGAAATATTCTGGCTATAGCGACATTAAAAATAAAGTTAAAAAAAAATAAACAACAATAATTAAGCAAAGACAAAATTATTTTTAATTTCCAAAGAAAAGTTACTTTTAACGAAATATGGTTGAAATATTCTGGCTATAGCGACATTAAAAATAAAGTTAAAAACATAAACAAAAATAATTAAGCAAAGACAAAATTATTTTTAATTTCCAAAAAAAGCTACTTTTAACGAAATAAGGTTGAAATATTCTGGCTATAGCGAC